CAGCCCAGTCACCAGTCCCAGCCCAGCCCCAGCAGTCCCAGCCCAGCCCCAGCAGTCCCAGTCCAGCCCCAGCAGTTTCAGCCCAGCCCCAACAGTCACAGCCCAGCTCCCTGAGCATGAGACTTGATGTAAACCTGCAGGTATGGAGACAAAACAGTCTCAAAAGTTGTCACTGGATCGTACAGTGAGATCCACCAATGTACCGACAGGTTTTCAAACTGCATGGACATGAACAGAAACTTAACATTTCTGGATCCAGTAAAATCACAGTAAGCGTATGTGTTTTAATTGAGGAGTTATGACTTCCTGTGCCGAGTTAGAAATGTATTTTCCCAACAACTAGACCTGGTAAGGCTCAGATGTTCCAGCTTTTCCCAGCCTTGAATGCAGCATCTCCTTTGAGAATCTGGAGCGGTAACAAAGTCTAAAAAAGATGCAAGTTCATCAAAGCGACACCATACAGGATCGGTTGAGGCCCGGTTGAACAAGAACCGCTGCGTAGCTGTGGACAACAGGGTGCTGCTGTTAGTCAAAGACCACGAAGAGGGAAAAGTCTATGACAGGGTGCCGAGGAGGAGGCGAGGACATCTGGAGTAGCAGAGAAGTATGTTAGACTGGTACAGGACATGTATGAGGACAGCAGGACATGTATGAGGACAGTAGGACATGTATGAGGACAGCAGTACAGCGGTGAGATGTGCTGTAGGAGTAACTGATAGCTTCAAGGTGGAGGTGGGAGTGCATCAAGGATCTGCTCTGAGCACCTTCTTGTTTGCTCTGATGGACCGACTAACAGATGAGGTCAGGCAGGAATCCCTGTGGACTATGATGTTTGCAGATGACATTGTGATCTGTGGTGAGAACATGGAACAGGTGGAAGAGAACTTGGAGAGGTGGAGGTATGTACCTGAAAGAAGAGGAATGAAAGTCAGCCGTAGTAAGACAGAGTCCATGTGTGTGAATGAGAGGGAGGAGGTGGAACAGTGAGGCTACAAGGAGCAGAGGTCACAAAGGTGCAGGACTTCAAGGACTTGGGGTCCACTATCCAGGAACATGGGGAGTGTGGTAAAGAGGTGAAGAAGAGAGTCCAGGTAGGATGGAGTGGATGGAGAAAAGATTCAGGAGTGATTTGTGACAAAATGGTGTCAGCAAAGGTCAAAGGAGAAGTTTACAAGACAGTGGTGAGACCAGCTATATTGTATGGTCTGGAGACAGAGACATGGACAAAAAGACAGGAGACAGACCTGGAAGTGTCAGAAATGAAGATGTTGAGGTTCTCCTTAGGAGAGACAAGGATGGAGAAGATCAGAAATGAGATCATCAGAGGTACAGCACAGGTTGAACAACTGGGAGATAAAGTTAGAGAGGACACACTGAGATGGTTTGGACATGTCCAGAGGAGGGACAGTTGTTTGGATGTGTCCAGAGGAGGGACAGTGGTTTGGATATGTCCAGAGGAGAGACAGTGGTTTGGACATGTCCAGAGGAGGGACATTGGTTTGGACGTGTCCAGAGGAGGGACAGTGGTTTGGACATGTCCAGAGGAGAGAAAGTGGTTTGGACATGTCCAGAGGAGGGACAGTGGTTTGGACATGTCCAGAGGAGAGACAGTGGTTTGGACATGTTCAGAGGAGAGACAGTGGTTTGGACATGTCCAGAGGAGGGACAGTGGGTATATTGGTAGAAGGATGTTAGAAATGCAGATGCAGGAAAAAGACAAAGAGGAGATATCTAGATGCAGTTAGAGAGGACATGGAGGTAGTTGGAGTGAAGACAGAGTGAGATGGAGGAGGACTCACTGTGGAGAGCCCTCAAGAGGGAATAGCTGAAAGAAGAAGAAGTGCATCATCTGGATGAAGTTCAGGGACAGCTGAGAAGGACCTGATTGGTGTTTGGTCCCTGTGATCCCTGAAGACTCGCTGACTCCACTTCTTCTGTCAGTGACGTCGTCCTGCAGCTCCCCAGCTGTCTTTGTCCCACAGATACGTCCAACTTTACTTAGCTTTTCATGGACAGAGTCATGATGGTGGACATGTTGTGTTCCTGAGGAGTTGTCAGAGACGACATGTGAGTGAATGTTCTCATCTGACATGGTCCTCTTCTAAGTGAGGATGAAGGTCCTCTGAAACAATTTGCTCTTCCTGCTCCTTCTCTGTGTGAGCGCCTCCTCTTCCTGCTCCTCCTCTTCCTGCGCCTCCTCTGTGTGAGCGCCTCCTCTTCCTGCTCCTCCTCTGTATGAG